TTCCAGGGGTACATCAATTCATCTAGCTATTTGCCTAGTTTTACAACAGGCTACATAAAAAGCACTAACAAAGTCAGTACAAACTAAAATTTCATACAGACAATGACTTGTTTATACTGCTCTATATACTGAAATGTAAGTACAATATTTATATTCCAGTTGATTTATAATTCTATGGTAAAAATAAAAAAAGTCCGCAATTTTTCGGTAATAGTGTGCTGTGACAATTTTGTATTTTTTGTCTGATTTTTGTAAGCAAGTAGTTTTAAGTGAGGTGAAACTTGGGGGGTTCGCAAGACAAATCAGACTCCTGAAAGGGGATACAAAGTAGTCTGGAAAGGTTGAGAGCCACTGACCTAGACAATGATCCTGCAATGTAGGTGGACCCTAGCACTCAAATCCTACAAGGGTCCATGATTGCAGGATCAGAACTCAAGAACATATGTGGGATAGAAGAACACAATAAAAGTAAGATTCAGAAGCATGAGCACCTGCCTACCTCCACAACTTATCTTTGGCTGATGAATTCTCCTAATGACTTTTTAGCATTGATACTTTAATAGGCTTTATTGAAAAACAGGCACTACTAGTTCCCTACAAAGGTTTGTTCTTTTTGTTACAATACTGGTTTAAGAAATGTGATGCAGGAACGTACAGAGCTGGAATACCAAGTGTGGAATTTTAATACTGTATACCAGGAGTTGGCTGGTATAGAGAGCATGCACCATGAAGAGAATAATGGATTTTTTCACCCATGTCACTCAATTTTCCCAAATTGTTCATATAATGAGGATGAATGGTGCGGGGGGACACACACTATAGTGAATTAAATTTGAAAGTTCAAATTATTAGAAAGTCAAAAGAGACATTATCTCCCCTGGAGAAATCAGTAAAAAAAATTACATGCTATACTGAACAATGTGTCACCTGCAAAAGTAAATTCAAGTGATTTAAAAGTCTTAGAGCTCAGGGACAATTAACTTAAACCAATCCTTGAGCTCATAATTTATCATATAGTGCTTAAAACTTTCACAATACTAAGCTTATCCCCACAGGGATACCAATTAGATGGGTTAAAAACACAGATTAACTTTGTTTAGAAAACAAAATCCTTGGGCCTCCCACAACTTCACAGCAGTGTCACAAACACATTGTTCAGCAATTATCACAAGTTGCAATTTTGATGTTTGGCTAGATAACAGATAAACTCTAAAAAGACTTTCAAATACAAACACCCTCAAAATGCATGTTTCCCACCCCTTTATGCTTGGAATACAAAGAGCTGACCCAATTCACCCTGGGACCTGAATGTAAAAGCAGAATATCAGATTTTTATAAATCTGATCGGCTGTCTTGCTGCCCAAGCAAAGAACTATGAGTCTGAGGGCTGGACTACACTAGGGTTACCATACGTCCGGTTTTTCCCAGACATGTCCGGCTTTTTAGTAATCAAACCCCCATCCGGGGGGAATTTCCAAAAAGCGGAACATGTCCGGGAAAAATACTCACTGGCTTACCTTAGAGCGGGCGCTGGGGGCTGCTGTGCTCCCTGACTCCTGGGCTCTGTAAGCGCTGAGCTGCCCGAGCGCTACCGGCTTCGGGCAGCCCCCATGCCTCTGGACCCTGCGCCCCCGGAGCCCGGGAGGGGAAGTGC